AATACAACATGACGAACTACTAACCGATTTAGCACGACTTCCCACAATATGTTTATAATATAGGTGGATCCTTCCAAGTGCTGGAGAACTCATCGACTTCAAAACAAAGGGGGTTGTAAAGGCAGTCGAGTGTAAAGAGAGTTTTTCTCTGAGTTACATACAGATGGCCGCCTTGACTCACCACAATGTTGGGTGTATTTCTACCGCTCACTTTTTCCGAGTTAGTTGTGTACTGGTCATAAATGATTACACGAGAAGAGAAAGCAAAAAGTTTTTTTTTTCTTTTCTTTTTTTTTTCCTCTTTTCTCATTGGTTCTTTATCTTCTCAACTGTGTTAAGAGCGTTTCTGGGTACAGGACACAAGTGTGTATGTGTTTGTGCATTTTGACTGCACTTTCATCTAGATGAAAACAAGTTCGGGAAGCGTTAGTCAAACACAGATAGGTAAATTGTGGTTTGAATGGAAGAACTTTCAAAGAAAGCTGTTAAAGCCACAAAATAAACGTCCACAGAGCATTCGCCGTTCACTCTTTTGAAGTTGTCATTTCAGACGCAATGCTCTAATCCCGTATCCATTTCAGTAAATATGCATACAGCAGCAATCAATGGCCATCCAAATATGAAACATCCAAATATGCCATTATTATTCTCTAAACGTCCCTGAGAAATACAGAGTATCAATGAGAGCAGTCACTCAGCAGTTCACCTCCATTAGATTAGCCATTGATAAAAGTGCCAGGGAAGAGTTTCGCAATGGATGAATTAACTAACAGATGTGGAAAGGAAAGCCAGGCTACATAAAGCTGCACTAAAGAGATGACAAGAAGGTGGTTGCGGCAAGGTATGAGCGATGGAGCTGCCTCACAAGCTGGGAGGAAAATTTCATTTCGAGGGCCATTTTGAAAATTACATGAGGAGGTTTTGACTAGGCAATAAAAACACAGCCGTGTCCACCGACAGGAGAGGGAGAATGCCACCAATTAACTTATTTATAAATCAGGCGCAATTTCAGTGATGACTTTTACCTTGCATTTGATTAAATGTGAAAGGATGGTTGGGGGAAATAGGGAGGAAAGAAAATCAAAGTCAAAAATCATTTCATCTAATTTCCTTTATTGGCAATAATCACAAGAGGTCTCTTTTTTCCCAGGCTAATGAAAAATTCCATTGATCTTGAGGTTGGCCGTTGCAAGGGCTCAGAAGTGGAGAGAGGTATATGTGAGACGTGCAAACTTTCTCCAGCGGTTCAGGCAGTTCTTCTGGGAGACTCAGGACAGCTTAAAGGAACTGGGTTCATTACAAGTTAAGCTTAACAGGCTAAATTTGCTCCATAAAAAAAAAAAAATGTTATTAAAAATTTAAAAATTGACTCCTGATTTTTTTTGAGTCGAGATAACAATGAGGTACTTACAATCGAAGTAAACAATGCCAGGGCCAAGTCCATTTTTTTTAAAAGCACATTATTTGAATTATTGAGTTGTTCAAATTGTAATTTTTATTTGTTGATTATGGCAAATATTTAACCCATTGAGTGCACTACTTTTTGGAGAGAGCTTTCTCTTTGAGAGTGTAAGTTGGATTGAGCTGCAACAAATGATATCAGAAAAAAATTACAGCAACCTTAGTTACCGTTACTAGTGGCATCACTGCCATTTTGTAGACATGACTACAAAATTGAAAGATTACATATAACTTAGTTTACACAGAAGATTTTACTAACCAATTCTATTGCATTAGTCCCATATCAACATGTATACTACAGTTAAAAATTTTGAATATTTTTATTGAGCAAGGATGCATTAAATTGATCAAAAGTGATGGTAAAAACATTGATAATGTTACAAAAAAAAATATTATAACTATTTCAATTTCTCTTCATCAAAGAATCCTGAAAAAATAATCATGGTTTCCACAAAAATATAATAAGCAGCAGAACTGTGTTCAACATTGATAATAATATGAAATGTTTCTTGAGCAACAAATCAGCATATTAGAATGATTTCTGAAGGATCATGTGACGCTGAAGGATGGAGTA